AATTACTGTGATGACATTAAAGGCATTTTGAGAAGCATGAAAAATGTGCCCTTGATCTGGGTCCTTAAAAAGCTCCTAATTCTGATCGTTCTGATTCATTTTGCTCCAAAGATGAAGACAGCATTTGTGCTCACCACCTCCATACTTTTTCTGCCATTGCTGCTGGCTGACTTTTCAGACCTGGATTCCTCATGTAGAATAATATGGTTCGCTTTTATATGATTCTTTATCTGATTTCCAATGTTCAGGTCAATAGTATGTTTATATAATATTGAAATGTTGTTTTAGGATTTTTAATCTTCCCTGTGTAGCACCAAACCGCGCTCTGGTGCGGCAGGTTGCAGCTTGGAGCTCCAATGAATGTGCCGATGAACAGCAGAAGTGCATGTATGAGGTAAAAAATACATTTTCAATTAGTTTTATTTGACTGGCAACTAGATTATCATCTGAAAAAGTTGTATGATACTTTTTGTACACTGTAAACTGTATAGTCTGTATGTATAGTATTATGAAACTTTTGTGTTTTGGAATATTACCAAATATGACCCAAAGGTTTTTACATAGTATTATAATGGCTTCTCTAGGGTTGTCAAAAAAATCATACCATGTTATTCTAATCGGACAAAAATCACATACACAACTAGACCGAAATATTTTTAGAATCATATTGATCTTTATCAGAATAAGACCATACAGAAATATATATTTAAAAGATGTATATATTTTTAATTAGTCCACAGTTGACTTGTCAGTTGTGTAAATTGGGATCAATAAATGCTGAACAAATAATTGTTTTGTTTTTTCTCCTAGGTGCTTCAATCCAGCTCTTCATTTCTGCAGGTCATGCACACATCCCCGGATTTAAAGATAATCACTGTACAGTATTTTGACTTTTACCCACCAGAAAATCCCCATTTCTGCAAAATTGCGGTAAATGCTGTTTTCCGTATCAATACAATATTTTTTGTGTGTTGGTTTTGATGATACAAATAAACCATCAGCTGCTTTGAGGGATTTTTCATTCAATGCTGTTTCCTCAGGCCTACTCTGTAACTTCACCCTCCAATGCCTCCAATACAAATGAGTTCTGCCTCTTCCACAATCTTTTCCAAGGTAACAGGTTGAATCTACATTTATTGATTGACTGACTGATACTTGAACAAAATGGTTATCTGTTTGTATGTATGTTATTAGCCAGCGGGCTGACCAATGCTCCAGGATACCGAGAAATCACCGATGTCAGCATGTGCCCTTCCATGTCTTCAGCCTCATGCTACCAAGACTACAAGAAGTCCACAATTTAGTTACTCACAGGAATAATATTAACGTACAACTATCCACAATGTTTTGACTCAGTGCTAGTGTATTTTCACATATTTTCTTACTAATTATTAAGAAATGTAGTAACAGTTGTTTATGTAACTTTGCTAATTCACATCTATGAGTCACTAAACACTTTCACCATGTCACTGATAATTTTGTATTTTTATCTACTATAAAAGCACGAGAACTTCGCACATCAGTTACTTGAGATGGGTGAGCTGGAGGAGAGAGAGCAGCCCAAGAACAGAGAAAAATGTCACACACTGTCTTACTTATTTTTCAATGATTTTTTTCTACTATGATCAATATTTTATTAGTAGTATTATTACACTGTATGTTGATTACCTTTGTTTTGGGTACACTGTTCCTTTACGACTTGTCACCTTTGGGTGCTTGCCACACCCTATTTAAGATGGCCACCTGAGCTCTCATTCTGTTTGCCAGATGAAGGCCTAGTGTAGAAACATTGCACAGTTTGTCCTAATAAATCTCACAATTTGCAAGTTAGACAGTGTCCGTGATTTTTCTCTATATTTTTATATACTACAAGACCACAAAAGAACGTTTTTAATGCTTTGAAATTAAAATAAAGTTAATTTGAAAACTGAATTTGCTTTATAATGATGTTACAGTAAAATGTTGGAAAATGCCTCATCAATCTTAATCTGAATGTTAAGGTTTAAGTGGAGAGTTTATAACCTTTTATGGCTATTGACTGTATTTATCTAATGCAGGTTTCTCACAAATTTCTTACCGCCATTATCTTGATGAATAAAAAGTTTGATCTATTTATATACAGGTCAAGGAAATAACATCACAATATCTGTCATTATGCACTTGGTTTATTTACAACACACAGCAAATTTCCATGTTTTTAAAATGAAAAAACAACCCAAGCAAACTGTAGTCACTCTGTATGTACATATGCAATACTTCATATACAGCATTTATAAGTACATCATCTTGTACTTTTTCAATCTATTACACCTAAGATCAAATGCTCTTATCCCACACACACTTATCAACCTCTGTCTAATCAACCACATGTACTCTTTTTAATGACACTCCAAATTAGCCCTAATGCTTAGCAGCGCAGACGAAGAAATGGCCAAAAATAAACCAGTACCAGTCAGAGAAGTCAGTGTTTCAAGTGATTTCCTACTATGAATGAGTGTTTTAAGTTAATGATACAAAATCAGAACCTCTTAAATAAAATTGGATTTCTACAGCCTCACACCCTCACAATGGTATAACAGTTAACCCTTTCTGAAGACCACAAACTTGAACAACAACGTACAAAATCAGAAGCAACACACAAGCCACTGAGGTTTTTCCTATAGCAGCCATAACAGTGGAGAGAATGACCAAGCCTGGCCAGCCATAGCAATGTTTTACAATATATAAAACAATATTGAGGCTGAATTCAAATGGACATACAGCAAAAATGAGATATGATGCATGACATAAGATTGGCCCATACTATTACAATTAGTTGGACAATATTTGCAAGTGTTGTGAATGAAGATCCCCAACTCACTTTGATGCGCAATTAATATATATGACTGGCCATGCTAAGATCTACAAGGAATTTCATGATATGTATGGACTTGATAACTAAATAATGTTGCTTTAAATGGAAAATAATAATGGTAAGATGAAAAAAATTTATATACTGGACAATAAACTGATGAAAAAGTAATACCGATTCACTGATGCTGTAGAATCTTTCAAGTAAACAAATAACAAAATCAAAAAGCACCAATATTTACAAACTTAATTTCCATAAACAGAAATATAATACCACTTCTCAGCTACAAAAGGCCATTACAGGACCAGATATGAAGTTTTAACATTGATCCATTTTTATTTTGGATCTGATGTAAATGTAATCAATTAGTATAGTAGAGGAATTATTTGTGTAGATTATGTCTTATTCAAGTGTGTTTTCAGTTACCGTTGATGTTAGTTAAGTTTTAATTAGAAGTATTAGTCATTTTAGTAGAGTTTAAGTAAATTGATATATTTGATTTGACATAGACAGATATCGTAGCACAGTTCCCTTTTTAGGTGAGTAATTGTGTTGCATATTAGATATACAGTAGCTCTGATATACAGTGGTAAGAAGTTGAAATGTTTGCGTCTCTATGACTATGACCACAATGTAGTTCATTTCTGACTTGTTATGGTGTAACCATACAAAGTAGAAAATATAATAAATATAAACTTGAATGAGTAGTAACACAGTTGGACATTGGTGTGTATATAAAGAAGGACAAAGTGTTTGTTGTTATTGGCTTGGCAGGAACAGGTAGTTAATCAGGAAGCACATGTTGAATTTAGAGCTGAAACATGGCTCCTAAACGGGTCATGTATTCAAATCATGACAACATTTAAAAGTTCGGATTGATTGAAATATTATTGCTCTGATACAAATTTTTGTCACAAATCATATCCTGAAGTGTGAATATATTCTTGTTAATACTAACTTCATAGAAGGCTATAATAAGACAAAGCTTTGAAGACAGCAGTTTCTATCAGAGGCAATCAATATATAACCATCAATACACATAACCTTAGTGTTCTGTTATTTCAACTGCAGTTGTGCTTTGTACCTTCATTCAGTGATTATTATACAGATTTGACAAAATTACATCAACAATGATTTAATATGAGAACACTGTCATATATAATCATGTTCAACAATTCTATTTACTGTAACAGCAGAAAAGGCCAATCCTGGACCCTACCACTAGGTGGCATCTGTTTAGAGAATTATTCCAACTCTGTCCATCTTCATATACACTGTGCATTGCATTACCATTAAGAAGATTAGCAACATGAAGTGTTGATCTGTAACTCAGATGGCCTGTGTGGATGTACTGTACAGGTTGTTATGGATTTTTACAATTCCCACTTCCTCTGCAATAACAAAAGTAAACAGTCGGAGTGAAGATGGTAAATCCTTATGGTGAACTCCCACAGAGCCTTCAGGAAGCGACCTGTGATTAAGGCGGTCTCATGTATTGCAAAGAGGTTTGTTGGCCCCTGTTCAGAGATACCCTGCCACAACAGTCATCGGTTCATAGGCTGCGCTAAAACTGTTTCCTATCTTGCTAATTACACAGCAGATGGAAAGATATGAATAGAAATGGCAAAGGAAACCTTGACGCCACCATCTTAGAGCCAACATTAGAGAGAAATCACTGAAGTAATGTTGGGTGTTAATCCTCTTTGGAAGAAAAGTCTATTTGGTTTGTGTTTTTGCCTTCCATACAATGAATCATCTTGTACATGGACTCTAAATAAACAAACACATGTTAGGGCGCTTAGAAGATGAATGTAGTTTCCTATGTCTAACTGTCCACTGGCATGTGCTAGTGGCTTGTTATGCGGCGTGCAGAGACGAGGACTGACAAAAGTCCCACTCAACAATGTCTCTTTTTCAAGTCCATTTGAAAGACAAAAGTCAAAGCAGATACATATTTATAAGTTGTTGGACACAGGAGACACGGCTCCATTGCTGTCTTCACTTGAGTTCTGCTGCTTCTTACATATTATGAGTTTGGGCTAAATCTGCCCACACTGCAACTCTTATGGACTACTGTCATTACCAAGGCTTAGAGCAATAACTCGCCTTTTATCAGCATGTTACACCCGTCTCCATGGGGTTTAGTCCTTCACACCCACTCCTGCATGGAGCGCTTGCAGTACAGTATGTGGCGCTGTGTGCTCTTCCTCCTGAACTGAAACACTGTGTAGAGTAGGACCATCATACAAAGTGCCAGGACACAGGGGATAGCTATTGCCACTGCCTTCTCTGTGCCTCCCGTGCTGTCCAATTTAATGACCACGTCTGCGTCTCCATTGTCATAGTGACGTTCTTCAGCCACTGGGGGGCTCCAGTCCCAGTCGGGGTCTGCCGGGAGACCATCACAACCCATGAAGTCCCTCAGGATGGAGCGGGGATATCCTGGCTCGACTCGTAGAAGAAGGTTGTTGAACTTCCAGTACTCTTTACCTTTGTAAAAATAGGTAAAGCCTGGAAAATAATAAAATATAATCATCATTTTTCATTTTCAAGATTCTCTTAAAGGTTGAAAGAACATAGTAATAATCATGTGTATTCTAATGTATTTTGATTTACCGATTTAAGTTATGTTTTTAGGTCAGGCACTTACTGACATAACAGGACAAATCGTTTTTTTATGTTCAACTTTGCAAATTATTAAACTGGCCATTTCACATAGTCACTGTAAACTTAAATTAGATTTTGAGGATAGGGTCCGACTGGTCAGGTAACACTGAAATGACTACTGCATTTCTGGGTTGTATTTTATATGGAGAATGTATTGTCTTCTGAATGGCATGCAATGGCATATACGAATGGCATATACGGCAATTAGCTTAATAGCATGAGGCCTAGAACATCCACTAATCACCAGTTAATCACAAGGCTGACTTTTACAGACAGAGCAGCTATTCACATTATCATTCATTTGCAATGGCAATTTTCACTGGGAAATTTCCAGCAAAAATAGACCTGAAAAAATTGGGACATATTTTTGGCCAGTACAGACAAAAAGGTGACAATAATTACTCAAATTTACTCTTAACATTGCACCAACAAAAACAACATATTTTAAAGGCTGCATACCATTAGCCTTGTCCACAAAAGCTCCCTGTGGAGAGTCCGGGATGCCCTTCCAGATGGTGATGGGTTTTGGGTAACCAGGGTCCATTGTCCTCATTTCCTCATTGTACCTCCAGTATCTAGATCACATAATCACAATCAGAACACAGCATACAAGACAATGATAGCACTGCTTTTATCTGATCTTTCGGCTCTGGACAATTCTCTCTCTGATCATACATTATGTTTTGTGGATCTAATTTTAATACATCTAGCACCCTGCCTTGTGCTTGTTTTCATTGTGGTGTACCCGATTTTCACACCTCCGGGAGGAAGTATGTATTTAAACTGGTCCAACTCCTCCCTAGCTCTCACAAACCCTTTGGCACATCGTTAATATCCACATGCATTAATCTTCTTGCACTTGCACGGATTTAGAACAGCTTTTTCCAGATGGAGAAGTGAAACCGCCTAAGAGCAGCCAATGAGAGCGTCACTTTCAACAATTTACTTCCTTGTTGAAGAAAAATACATTTCTCTATTATTCTGTAACCCACCGTGATCACTGTTTGTCACTAAGTGCTACTATCCATGTTTTTTGTTTAGTTGTATTTATTTTTGCTTTAAACTTTGTTATAATTATTGTTATATTATCTTATTGTCTTATGAAAAACATACATGGAGTTGTTTTTCATTTCATTCCGACATGTTCGAGTAATCCTGGTTTATCTGGCTGTCCGTATCCCCAAAACTCAAAATGCTCTGTTCCACCTTGTGATGTCATGTGGTGGTTGATTTCAAGTTAATAGCTATATTTTACCTTTTGTTCATAAGAGATTGGCAGTTCCAGGGTTCAAATCATCCAAATGATTCTAGTGAAGGTTTGTGGAGTTTCAAAACATAGTGGAGCACTTTCTGTACTGTACTGAGTGTTTTCAGTTTGAGAACTCAGCCTCAATATAAAGGGACTGAAACAAAACAACTCCAGGTATGTTTTTGATAAGGAAACATAACATAGATTCTAAAATAGCACATTATGCCCTTTAAATTTAATTCCAAAATCAAGCTTCTTTGTCTAAACACGATTGACGTGTATCCTTTAAATTAATTTAGCCTTACAGTTCTGCGCCTGATCTCAACTCAGATGTGTGAAGTGACGAGAACGTGACAAAGGTGTAAACACAAATCCTGGATGGGTGCGTATATTTAGCTGATGACAATGTGGTGAGTCAGAGCTTACGCACAAGTATCATCAGGACTGCTCCTAATTAAGACGACATACAGAGGCACATCACAATTGTCAGGGGTGAACATCCGACTGTAATTACCCTCTTATCAATCACTATTAGCACCTCATCGACGCCCAGCTGTTTGACATGCCCCATGAGTCCTGGTTTAGAAACTGATTCACATGCTACTGTATAAAATGTTGCATGTGAGGGGGAGAGCACTGACAAAGTTTTGGCTAAATTTGTCTTCAACAATTTAGCATTTTGGATCCTCAGTGTTTATGTTTTTTATTTGGTATTCAGCATTAGGTTCATTAGGTTCATCAGTTGTTTTGTTTTTTTAAAGTACAAAGTTTTTGTAATTTAGTAATTCTCCGCATCTTTCCAGAGTGTGACTGTCTAATGACAATGCACATGATCCTTGTAAAACCAGTCACACTCCACTATCAAATCAAACTTTACTTATAAAACGCTATTCACATGATGTACCCTAAAGTTTATAGACTCTGAAAATCCACTTTTATGTAATTTTGACTATTTTATGATTTAGCTCTTATTTGATTTGACTGCTTTTTATTGTTTTAGGATTAGTAAAATTAATCTGAGCATTTATTCCTTCTTTTGATTATTATTGTTACTTTCTTTGTGCAGCACTTTGGAAACTGCCTGTTTATGAAATGTGCTATACACATAATGGATTGAATAGACAATTAAAATCATTCCCTCACACCCACCTACAACCAGATTTTGCTTTACAAACAATTATCATAACACATACTCTTACCTGATTAACCCTTTTTAAGAATCCTATCTTAAAATCATTCCCTCACACACACAGCATGATGCCACTTTGAACCAGCCTGCATCACTGTTATGGACTGGTTGCACTGATTGGCTGCAGTTACATGGACACATATATGTTTGTGTTGGACATGATTTGCTGCAGCAGGTTGAGAGATGACAGAATCATGACAAAGCATTTTGTCAGCTCCAAGTCCCCCGTGACCTCCCGAGGATATGATTTATAATGACGGCTGAACAAACATGTGAGTCAGACTGGGACCAAGACCAAACTCAGAGACCCACTGCAGACAGGAACTAAATTAGATATTGAAAAAGTCACATGCATCACCATCAGCGTCATCGTGTTTTCACAGTAATAACTTCATCATATGGATGGCTAAAGGTAACATTAGACATGTAACATTTGGGTTGTTTTGGTTTGAGTCCAGAAAGCAGCAGTTGTCAGCTGCTGAAGACGCTGTTGGTGTTTTTGAATAAATATGTGACAGCTTAGAGAACAGGCAGGATGTGGCCCTGCCAAACCTATGAGGCACTGATACTAAACTATTTATGCCACGAACAAACACAGCATACAGAACTTATATCAGGTCATGTTTGACGTTATCAACATTTCAAGAAGATTTTACACTTTTCTTACAAAACTCCGGAAATACAAGGCAACTACCTGTTACTGTTGCCTCCATAACTTTGCATTCGCTAAATTTTTATTTAGTCTAAATAACTCATATTTATTTGCAAAATATTTTTAAAAAGTAGGATTTGATTAAAAGATCATATTGTAAACCATGCACATTAACGTTTGAAAGAAGACTGAAATATGAAACAACAATCCCATTAAATTCATAACATGTCTGTAGAGGTTTAAACTTATTAACCAAATTAAATAAACCAAAAATTTCAGTACTGTATCACATTGGTTCCTAACATTTTTCTCCCAGCAACCCTTGTTTTATCTATACATAATCGTGACCCCCACATCATTCTCCAACCTGATAATGTCCTATAATGTAAAATATTATTATTTTTCTATTTAATAAAGATATTATAGAATAGCAATTGTTACAAAAGACTTGATAGAAGCAGCTAACATACAATCTGATTAACATTTCTCATAATCTTGTTGGGACCCCTTTTCTAAGAATGCCTTGAGAGTCTTTGGGGACCTAAATTTGGATTGTATATCACAACCAAATACAGTGATTGCACTGTATTTGATTGCAATATACTGTATTTTGCAGCCCTTATACAGATATAATGGCATGTGTCTTTGGTACTACTAATACTACCTCATATGAAAAATAAACAATTTATTCATTGGCCACCATATTGAAATACAGAGCCTGTACACTTTCTCTTAGTCATGTCACAGTGTCAGACCCCATCCATCTCCTCACTCACCTGTCTCCTTTGAAGAAGTAGGTTTTGGCTGCGTCCTCCCACCAGACAGCTGTCTCGATGTTCTGGGCGGGCATGCCACTCCCAAACAGTGAGATGTCCTGAGGATATGAGGGCTGCAGAGTCGTGTCCTTAAACACCCAGAAACGGTTTCCTAAAATACACATGCGCCAAGTTAAAGAACACTTTGGATATTAGCTTAAACTTGACATAGAGTAAATGCAATCTTTAATGAATTGCCTCTTTCACATAATTCTCAGGGTTTTATCTTATTATTTTATCTTATTATCTTTTTTTCTCTTATTCAGTATTTGCAAACATTTTACAGTATATTGCTCTACCTAGGGCTAAGTGATATGATTTAAGACATAAATCTTTTTTTTTCATGTTATTAAAAATGAATACATAATTTTTCTATTTTAATTTTCTGAACATAAACAATAAATACGATAGTAAAATTTGTCCTTCCAAACTCTAGGTTCTGCTCCTGACCACATGTTCTTTGTAGCACACTCAATTTCTATTAAAATGTCAAGTGTTAATAGACCTGTATTTTAACAATCCACATCCAAGAGACAAATGAATAAGCAACTATGTTTATGTACAACTGTGCCTGAGCCTTAACAAAATCATAGCAAAACCATAAATTGTAAACTTTTAATATGAAAATTGGAGGTGCATTTAGAAAGACATACTAAATTCTAAGTAAACCAGATCCAACCACATTTTAACAAAAACAAAAACCTCCAGGGATATCAGTAGTATCTCACTAGGTTTACCGACAGCTATGCCTATATACCACGATTGAAAAACACAGTTCTTGATATGTACGTAGCAGATAAAATGTATGCCGTTTCATCTGTAGCATACATCCAGTGGGACTAATTATTTTATTGGAGCTATTGTGGATATTAATTCAGTTTGGTGAAAATGCCCAAGGCCCAAACAAGTAGCTAGTACTCATACATACACTGTACACAGAAAACACAGATAAAGTCCAGCGTTAGTGAATAAATAAATGAAGATACTGTGATCCTACAGAGTGACAGATGTCGTGTTAATCTGCCTGATGAACGGAGAGGCAGAGCTGGACCCAAGCCCATGATGTTACAGCTATATACCATGTCCACTAGTCAATACACGAGGCACTTTCACTTATCAATTATACATCACCGCACTCTTCCATTGTCTTTTTGTGCTATTGTTCTGGTAAGTGGACCAAGACCTTTATAGATCCACTGTAGGTAGCTCACATGTCTTCATTTATTTTGCAAGCAAAGTAAACTAAAACTGAAATCTGAACTGAACTTAATTTGAGCAGCATTACTATTTTTTGTAATTTTCTATGGAGAAAAAGTGGCTGATGATATATTTTTTAGAACCGTGATCCAATCTACTTAAGCAATAATCAACTTGTATAAAGTAGGATTTGGTGTGATTTGGGGGTTAAGTTAATCCTTAAATGGGCAAATTGTTGTAAGCTATTGCACACTTACTTGATTATCTGTGGTCTGATTGTAGCTCCTCCATATGTGTAATGCAGTTGTGTCTCTTTGAGCTGTTGTATGTTGGTGTGTGAATGTTTCTCAAATATTGCAATGATTAGAATCTGCTTTCTTTCTCTCTTTCAAGGACACAGACCGTAGGAGGATTCTTACCTTTAAAGAAGACAAATTTCCCTTCACTGTTTTCATAAACGGCATCGATTTTCGGAGGCAGGCCTTTCCAGAAGTAGTTTATCTGCATGGGATATCCAGGTACCACAGAGCCGTCCCGTACTCTCCAAAACCATTGGTCCTATAGAAATAAACAAGGAAAAGCATTAGTTATTCATTTGATTTGACAAACAGGTTTAATATCCTGGATCTTGTACAAAAAACAAAATCTTAGAGACAGCACAAATTGCATTATAAAACCTCTATGGCCGACACTACAGCTGTAAAATTACATAATATAAACACTCAGACAGATGGATCTATGCAATATTAATGTTGTAGCCAACACACCCAAAAGCAACTAAGTTTTCATTTAAGCCTATACCCTGTTAGAAAAGTATGTAAGGAAAGACTTATTTGGGGTACTTACATTGTTTGATAAATAAGATAATATACAAATGCAGAAAATATAAGTCATATTTGTCATCACACTTAGATATGATGATGTAACTAAGTATGGGTAATTAATCAAAAGATTGAGAGATTGTGATGCAGTCATATCTAATCATCAATATTAGGGTTGGGGTGTTTGACTTGAGAGGATTACAGCCAATCCCCTGTCAGTAAAAGAATGTAGTTTGGAGCAGTGATCAGACTTTGGAGAAAGAAAATAAAATATTTTTTGTGTTAAATTTCACTTTTTTTTGTTAGTCCATTGCATTGTTTCTATACTCTTTATGTTTATGTTTTTAAAAAGACTAAATAGAACCTAATCAAAAATAGAAGGTGGGGGAAAAAACGTATCACTATTTGTTTATAGTGATACATTTTTTCCCCCACATCGCCCATCCCTATGTAATACAGTCAGAGTGGTGAACAAGTGGCTTTCATTCTGACCACCGCTACACTACTACAGAATCTAAGCTTACATTTAGAAACATTACTACAAACTGCAAACACAACATAAGACATAAACTTTACCTTGAAGACGAAGAGCTCTTGGCGCAGGATGGCGAGTGTGTTGAAGCCGCCGTCACAGATGTTGGGTTTGGAGTTGGGGTTGGAAGGTTTGGCGCCCTGTGGAGGTCTGTGTGGGCGGGATGAGTGGCGGTCGTGTTTGCGGGGGTCAGAGGGCGGGTGGAAGCGAGGAGGCGGGACAGTGGGCGGAGGCCTGGTGGGCTGTGGCGCTCTGTCTGGTGGACCTAACAAACAAATTAGTTCAATTTAGTGTTTCATGAATTAATATTTGTATACATTGCAGAGATATATATATTTTTTGTTTCTTAGTAACTATATTTGCTGTCATACAAGTCAAAATTACCAATTTCCAAGTAGTTTTACTATTTAAATGCTGAATTTACAGATACAACCAATGAAAGCAGTTTATTTTCATATTTGTAACAACACATTTTTATAGTAGTAGTAGTATTGGTGCTTGTAGTAGTAGTAGTTACAGGTTCGCAAGATGGCTTAGATTTTGGTGTAGGTTTTGCTATGGGATCTGCTAAAAGGCAGTATACTTTTCAGGTGTATGATCTGCCACTTAAATAGTCTATATGTATGTATAATCTATGTCTATGGAGACTGTATATGAAGAGATATACATTCTAAGTGCATATGGCAAAGAATAGATCTTATTTTTTAATCAGAAAGACCACTGGTATCTGTTGGTTTCTATAGATTGCTACAGTGATTTTCAGAGCCTTTTGTGGACATATATGTAGCTATGTGAAGACTGAATCAACATCAGTCATAGAAATGCATAAATCATTACAAGATTGCTACTGCTTTGAATAATATATTTTTAAACAGCAATTATGCTGCTGCCATCTGGCCTCAATGAAGCTCAAGTCGAGGTTACTGATGGAATAACAAACGTCTGAGCACTGCTTTTATAATCACCAATATTCTTATGCAATGGAGTAATAGGTTTGCACACATACCATTTTCAAAAGTGCAAGGTCAACCCATATGATTTAAAATAAATAATTTCAGATGTTTTTTCCTCTAAAACTATTGAACTTTACATAATTACTTACTTACCCCTTTATATAATAATTATAATTGTTCACCCACTACTTCAAATGTTGGAGGTTTGATCCTTGATATTGGCGCTGTTGTATGATTGTGTGAGTGCTTAGTTCCTGGATGTGAAGTGTTTGGAGGGCCATACTGAAGAAGTAAAGTGTTATATATAAGTTTGACCCTATAATAGATTTTAATACAATTGATTAGAAAAGATAACCCAGTCTGCGTTCACCTCTTCCACCCTTCGCCTTCATTAACTCCAGATTAGATTACTGCAGTAGCTTTCTCTACGGCACACCCTCCAAAACACTCAATAGCACCCGGTCCCATGAACACATCATCCCTGTCCTCCAGAACCTCCACTCGCTCCCCATCCATCAGTGCACTTTAAGCCCTCTGGAACTCTTTACCTCAGCAAATGCGTGACTGTACTGAACTGTCCACCTTCAAGAAACTGCTCAAAACCCATTTATTTAGAATGGTTAACTTTTGTCAGTATGATTAACTGTTTTTGTCTTTGCTGTATTATTAGCTTATTGCTCCTCTGATTGTTTTAATATGTGTCCTGTAAAGAGTCTTTGAGTGTCTAGAAAAGCACTATATAAAATAAAATGTATTATTATTATTATTATTATTATTATTATTATTATTGTTAAGACAGTTTAGCAATAATATACTATATGTGCTAAAAGGTTACCGTAAATCTTTTGTATGCCCTGCAGGTCATCATGAGGTAGTTTGAAGTTCTCGGTGTCCATGTACTGGTAGAAGGGGGCCATGATGGCGGTGGGGTCATTGGAGTGCTCCAGACCGAGGGCGTGTCCCAACTCGTGAACCGCCACCAAGAACAAGTCATTCCCTATGGAGACACGGAGAGGTCAGAAATGACACAAAATATATCTCTCACATATTGCATGCTACTACTCAAAAGCTTTAACGCTGCACTGTGTAACTTTTCTGATGAAAAGCCTGGAATGTCCCATGGCATGTCAGTAAAGCTATCTCCATGGAGACGAGCAGGTGATACCAGTGAGCCGGCACATAGTGAGTATGTAAGTTTTCCAAGGTATGCTCAACAACAAAAACACCTGTAGTGAAATAAATGTAAGATAAACAAGTTTGATGCCATACTGCGGAACATGTCATGCAAAGCAATAACATCTCCATGGCGACAAACAGACAAACTGGAGAACCCCATTAGAACAGTTGCTCTGCACCTTAACCAACAAACTAGACTGGTAGAGTTTGATTTTGGCTTCCAGTAATGTACCACCATTATGGCCACTACTAATATGACAACTACGAATACTTCTGCTACTACTACAACTATCACACTACTAATAATACTTCAGAATATGTCCTTGAGTATTCCATTGTGTGAGTTGAGAGGATAGAACATTTCAACATATTTGCTCTTAACATAAATCTAATTTAATCATCATATAAAAATGATTAACAACTGCTACTACTACTACTACTAGCAACTACTAGAGATAATACTAATATGACTGGTGCTACTACTGTTAATACAGCAACTACTACTATACTTTGAGTATAGCATTGAGTAGGGAGCATGGGGCTCAGTTTTTCTCTTTATCTTTTTATCTTTTATATTGAACCTTTTTTGATACTATATTTGAGCTGAGCATTAAATATTTAAGCATCCAACGAACATTGAGTAACACATACTTTTAACTTTAAATTCTAATTGATGTGAGATCAAAAGTCTGCAAAGTTACATGTAGTTTTTATGGAACTGCCCACACTGTGATAAGAGGAGAAGTGTGGTGCATATCATGCATATCGACCAACATATCATGCATCAACACAAAATCGACTGATTTATGGTTTCTCATGAAAACAAAAAAATAAGACCTAAGGGCCCATATTATGATGTTCTATATTATGATGGTTTATCTTGTTGTGTTTTGTTTGATTCACACATGATGTCATGTAATAATATAGGAAGTGATTCACTTTGTGTTTAAACTCCACACACCTTCACTAGAATCATCTGGATTATTTCAGACCTGGAATTGCCAGGTCTGAACTCAACTCTCAGATCTGTACTGAGCTAAAGACAAAAAGGTAGCTGTAAACTGTTAACTTGAAAACTACCACTAGATGACATCACAAGGTAGAACAGAATATTTGATCTTTGGAGATGTACAGATTAATAATAATAAAATATTACTCAAACATGTGTGAATGAAACTAAATACAACTCCAGGTATGTTTTTGGTAACAACATTCGAATGTGGTTTAAAGCTCACAAGCGTTTTTGAATAGTAAAGGGCCTTTAATGATAATGTCCACAAACAAGACAAGGCTGACTTTTTAAATTAACCTCAAGGACGATTTAACACACAAAGTTATCCTAAAAAGTACGCCCAAAACAACATGCCAATAAGTCTGCCGTTTGCAAGCAAAATGATCCAGATTTAATAAATACATCTATTAATTGCCCAGACCTAACGCAAATCTATGCCACTATAATGTTGTCCATTTCGGTTTGATTGGTATGTTGATGAGAGTTTGCTTTTATTATTGATTACATCTTGATTACAAACACATACAAACAGTGCGGTCAAATGTGGTTTAGCATTTAACTAGAAGTGCAGTAAATTAAGTTGGTGGATTTGTTCCTGAATAATTAGACATAGAAGATACGGGATTTAATGTTGTGGTTGAGAAATCTCTTGAGTGCTGGTTTAGCCTTATGCTTAGCACATATTTGCATAACGCCACTGTATTCTAATATGAATAATGTATACCTTTGTGCCAGAAGGACATTATGTCAATAGCTTAAGGGACCATAAAAACTTTATTCTGTCTAATGTTACCAAAACATAAGCAATACACATCAGAACACAAATAGTTGTCAGTCATTAGTAACAAGTACAATTAATGAGAAAACTTGAAAATATGAAAATCAGTTAGGACAATTACTGAATAGATTAAAATAAACAAATTTGAATGTGCTAGTTAATGACTACTGACCAAGGAAAGACAAAAACTGACATAACTCCAAAAGAACATTAGTACATTAATAATACCTTTTTTAAAGAGTCACCTCTACCACAAAAATTTCAACGTAAAGGTTTCAATTAATTACTACAGACCTATTTAAAGGTACTCTGTATAACTTTTCTGTTTGAGGGTCCGCCACCTGCTTGTCTCCATAGAGATATTATTCCCTTGCCAAGGATGTTTCACATTATGTCATTAAACTTCTAGTTTACATCCATTCAATTCTGAGTGTTTTACTGGCCCAAAACCCTAGAAAAAACATGCATTTTTACAGTGAGTGGTGTTGTCTCTCCACAGATGTGACTTGTACCTTGACCTAGTGACGTGGCATCAAATGCTTGTCTCCAAGGAGATAGGTATTTGATGCCATACTGGGGAACATTCTAAGCAAAGCAATTGTATCTCTATGGAGACCAGCAAAACTATCAATGAGAAAATGTATACAGTGCATCCATTTCTGAGACACATTCCTTTATAATTTAGAAAAGTTATTACAAAATACAATGCAAAATACCAAACATACTAAATAAAATAGTGATAATAATGTGAGTTCAATAGCTAAAAATGTACAAAATTTTCACCAAATAGGTACTGCATTGCATTCAGACTCACAATTCTACTCAAGGCAACACCCAAAAACGCAGTGCTTTTAAAAGCACCTTAACACCAGAGTCTCCATTCAAACCCACACTGCCAGCTTCCAGTTCACATCACACAAAGAAGAAAAAAACGTCTCTTCTTGGCCTTCAGTGTCACCACGACTTACAAAGGAGTACAGTTCATTTTTGCCAGATTGTGGAAGAGAGACCCCAGGAGATCGGTGCCCTTTAAAACACAATATCCACTCCTGCCAGCACCAAGCACTGACCCTCCACCAGCAGCTAAAAGGTTATACTCGCCTCTTCCCATTACCTGCACCACTACAGCCCAAATGCACCCATGGGAAACCAGTCCGAGGTACCATTAGCGCGTATGTCTACATGCAACTTTTAGAATTACACTGCTCTGAAAGCCCATTAAGGTAACACAAGAGCATTGGAAATGACAGTGTAGCATACCACCTAAGATAACAGATAGTAAGTAGAGAATTGTCCTTTTTACCTGCTCAGTTTCAGAAAAAATAGCATAATCAAGATTATTTGGGTCACAGTTATCGTCACATCATTGTCACATCAAAGTTATCATCACAGGTATCATCATTTTGTCAAAAGTTAATTTGTAACGGAAGAATAAGCAATAGTTTGAATTATTAAAGCGACAGACCAGAATCATTTCTCATAATCCTGCCACTATAATCTTGTATTTCTTTATACATTTATGAAAAGTTAAGACAAAATATTTCCCAATAATCCATGTCCAAGAACCTTAACAAGAGCCATAAAGCAAATATAATCTTCACCTGTATCATTAACATCATAACAATTGCCATACTGTTATATTTTATTGGATAAGGTTTGTCCTGTTACAATATGTTACTGCTAGACTACCATACAGCCTCACTTGAGAGAGCTTGTTTTGAAGAAAAGCTTCAATAAAATGTACTTAAAATTAACTTTGGACTCAGCAATCATCATAGGAATCACTAAGTACATATACACAAAAAGTTGATGACGGTTTTAAAAGTGAACAAACCACAAGCCCATAACGCACTCGTAGTCTCCACTGCTGGGAGAATAGGAGGCAGCCGAGTGGCACCTGGGTATTAGTGCAGCAGCAGTGACAGGCCGGAGACATGTTGGTGGGATAATTAAACTGTGCTTGCGCTGAAGTGTGTGGAAGTCCGAGGGGGAAAAGCATCTACGCCACTGACACACGACACAAGTATTAGTGAAGGGCCTAATATAAACTCCAGAGGAACAGTGTGTTGTATAATAGTGCATGTTTGTGTTAACATCAGAGTTGTTTTAGTGTTAGTAGTAACAGCATGATTTTCATATAAAGTTCCACTGGCAACTGTTTAAAAAAAAAAAAAAATAGATGTCCCCTGTAGGGCAATCTAATCAAAATCGTAATTTGAATGGACGCAGTTAGCAAATCTCAAAGGCAGCAAACACAATTTCCTCCACAAACAAGAAAATATCCTGTCTTACTGCATTCTGTTTAAAAATGGCTCACCTTGTAGTTTAAATTTGAGATTTTTGTTTTGTTAGTTCACTTTGAACTTTGAACAGAATCCTATTATTAAAACATAAATTTGAAAATCCAATCACAATCACAATGCTTGTGAGAAAAATCTTAATTGGATGTTTTTCTCAAATTGTTAAGCCCTAGTCCCCAGTGCTTTGGACATCCTAAATGCAGCAGGAGTTGAAACATGTGAGCCACAGAAAAGAATGGATGTAATTAATGTATCTCACTAGGGCTTCTACTACTACATATGTTTTTTATGTTGTCATTGTATTGTATGTTATACCTTGGTTGACAGTAAAGATGAATTCTATTCAATTATATGCTTATTGTACTTTCCACCAAACCAGTTCTCTAGCCACAATTTGCTCCTAACTACTATTATTAACTAAATTATCTGACAAAGTTACTCATGTTCAGCAAGTCAAAATAATTATCATGTTTTGTTTTGTCTTTAATTAGTATTCTGTATTTAAGCTTCAGTCTTGCCGTAGTTAGAACTTAACGTCTTAACATCAACACACACCAATCGTAACAACTCATATTTTCATCCTTTTGCATTTTCCATTGCACTGCCGCACCAAGGACAGCTCCAGCTCAGTCTTTGTTCATCTCTTTGCAGATGGCTCTGTCTATGATCTGCTCCTGTCATAGGTTATAATGCTCCTTACAATATAAGCACGGCCAGACTTGAATGGACCATAATGATTCCACAATGTGTAGAGTCTTAATATCTCTGGGTCCTGTAGTGATGGCAAATACTTCAGTTTTTTTTCCTGATTTAGTTTTAGTTTAGTCAAAAACCTAATATGCAGAAGTAGCCTTGTGTGGTGGCACTTGGGAGATGTTTGCCAGGAATGTTCCACAGTATAGAATTAAACTTATAAATTTTCATGTGAACCAATAAAACCACAATTGAACTGCATCTCCATGAAATGGTGGACCCTCTCACTAAAAAAGTAACATAGTGCAAAGTATTTCTATTTTTATTTTCTTGCTTATGCTTTTTAATACACCCATATTTATCGTTCATGACATTTAAATATGATCTTATATAATGAATTACTTTGTCATAAACAATTACCCTCAGTGTCTTTTCCTATGACACTAATTGACATTGTATGGTCAGTATATGTCACTCTTATATAACAAAATGAATAAAGCCTTAACAGGAGAATATTTCCTAAATTATAGCTATATACCACATCACATCAAGCAACAGAATAGCCATAATGTGCCAGCGACTAAAGTCTTAAAATAGCAGGGCTCTCTATCCTGTCATCTCAAGAGCTTATTATGTGGGAAAAACATTTGGATCCTGACAGATGGGGTGATGCGTCTGAACAGCACAGCCTGATCAAAGACATGTGCGTTCTTTGTTTGTGCACAAGAATCTCTTCTCTCATTTTGCTGCTGACCACCATACTGACCAGAAGTCCTATACTGGGCTTGGCATAAACATTACAACTAGCCAAATGTGGGTAGGTTTTCATTTTGGTTACTAACATGTTCAGTTTCACTATAGTCCTCATAACCTACAATTATTCTTCTGTAATTTGTTGTGTTAATTAATCTGGATTCCTCTCCTGACACTGTAAAGATGCACTATGTAACTATAACTTTTCAGGTGGAGGGTTCAACACTTGTTTCTCTGCATGTAGATGTTATTGCTTTGCCTGGAATTTTCTGCAGTATAACACTTATCTCCATGGAGACAAACAGAGCACTAGACTAAGCATCAGGACAAATCTGTGGAGAGGCAAGGCCACCCAAAGAAATTATGCATGTAACACCTGTAATTGAATAATTGCAAGATAAATAAGTTCAATGTCATATTGTGAAACATTCTTAGCATAACTCTCCCTCTAAGGTTACAGCACACATTTAATACCTCCATTGTAGCTATATAAAATAAATTCTGACTAAGAAAAACACAAATTTGTCCTTTTTTGCTACTCCCGAACACAATCCAGTAAAATCCTTGGCAACCTCACAATTCTCACACCTCCAATAACAGTACATGGCTAAAAATTCCATTACCAGAGCCCACTTGATTAAAACCTTCTAATGTACAACATGAAGCCTGTGTATCACCAGCACTACTGATAGGCTGGTTGATGTGACATAACATTCAAAGACAGAGTTTGCTGTTTAACTGTCAGAACAGATTTGTTGTCCTGGTTTACGGTTCATATTTTTGCAGTTACTGGGCCTATCCACAAGTTCAGTGTCTTATTTGACAGTATAAATAAACAAAATTGAGAAAGTAGTGCCAACCCCAAAGGTTAGCTGAAAACACTTTAAGCAATAACATTAATATGGCACATTTGTTTGTGGACCCAATAATGATAGTGTCTCCCATCGAGTTGTACAGCCCGATGCTTCTCATCTGAAATTATGACATCACAAAATTTTACAACTTGAATACAACCAATATCACATTTTTAAAGCGCTTAACATGTTCTGATCCCTACCTCTATCCTTACCGTCGTGGTTGGGATTCCCGAGGGTCCAGGGTTCATCCGAGTCGAAGTGCGTGTCACCTCCGATGCCGGGTCCGGGGAAGTATGCGTGAGCCAGGAAGCCCCCTTCTCCATCAAAGGGGGAGCTGTCACCATGGAAACCAGAGGCAAAGATGATGGTGATGTCCACCTCCCTCCGGCTCGTCTCCAGAGCGCTGTATGGTACAGCCTCAAAGCGCAGAGGTGTCACTCCCTGCCACACGTCAAATGCTCGTCGGATGGCATCATGGGTCTCATGGGATCCCACCTTTGGCGTGATATTTTTTATACTGGGGAGAGTAGAAAGGGATAAATTATTGAAGTAACAGATACAGTATTCTGCAAGAACTGCCTTTTCTAAATTGCAATCTAAACAAGTTATACATCTATCGCAATTCAATCAAAATTTTAGTTGACACATCTATCACACAACTGATCACTTGGACAATAGAATGTCCTCTGTTGTATCCTGTTTTTTACTGACAATTATTGATTCATGTATTAATTTATCAGTTCACATTTCAGTGTTTTTTTTGTCATTTTAATGCTCCTTGAATTGTTTACAATGTGTTCTGAACAGAATCCTACTTTGCAACCATAAATCACAATACATGTCTATCTCAATTCAATTTTTTCCAAAACTGTGCAGCCCTAGTCCACACGATTGTTAAAAATACTGTAAGGATGCCATATAATCCACTGCATTATGCTGCTGGCAGGCACAGAAATGTATGAATAATACTGTTATTGTGGTGGCACTGGCACATTGATTAAGTACTTAGTACAAATTTATGTGCACACACATTTACACAAACCAAATGATAAATATGCTGTCATAGGGCAGTATTCCCCAATCTGGTGCATGGGAACCACCGTCATTGCATCACCTTCTAAAATAAGGTGAAACTGAATGGTATAGAAAATTTTACATTTTCTATAACAATTTGGACATTTATATTAAATATAAAGAGGAAAATATGGTAAAAATAACAGAAAATGTACTCCTCTATGCTAAAATAAATTACTATGTACTCCTAGTACCCAAGTTAGAGCAGATTCTTAAGTGTGAGACCAAGCTTAAGGAGTACTTGTTTTGTTCAAATATGCAATATCAGGTTTGTTCATTCAAATGCCATAGATTTTGGATTCTAGCAAAAGTAATTAGCCAAAACAAAATGAGAAGAGCGTAAAATACTCGTACTTGACAACTATTTCAGGCCTGGCAGCTTTTGTTGAACTTTTAACATGGTGGTCGTTATCAGGAGCTGGCAGGCACAGAGAAAAGTGAAATCTTCTCTCTCTCTTTCATGAGTAAAGTGCAGTCAGCAGCACTGCTCTGCTCTGATTGACATTCCATTAAGAGAGGGGGCTCATCAATTCAAATTCTGCAGGAAACGGATTTGAATAAATTGGCAGTGTTATCGGCCATTACTGCTGTAACCTGTCAGTTGTGCGCTTGTGCCAGACCCCGTTTATCAGCTCTCCTCAGAACCCATTAAAAACCAGCTTAATCAACCGTGATAAGATGAGCCAGGGATTTTTTTTTTCTGTTGAGATTACGGCCAATTTGTGCTGAAGGTTTTTCAAACAATTTCGTATACGAAAGGAAAAATTGTCTTCCTTAACTCATGCTTTCTGTTGTAGTAATGGGAACATAAAGCACAAATGGAAGTCAGTTAATTATTTATACTCAGAGACTGCATGTTAGCTTTGCGCATCTGAAAACTGTGTTGCAGCCGGTCCATGTGTTTCAGAATAATGACAAATTAGAACAGTTGCCATAGTAATTAACAGTTTAAACCACAATATCCTATCTTTTGAATGGTGAAAAGTCCTTGTGTCCAAAGTGGGTCTTTGTCCCTTTTAAACTAATATTAATTTAACACATTTGTTAATATGTTAATTTACAATGCCCTACCAAAACAGTTTGCCATGCAACCCTGAGTTCTTTTGTTTAATTATCACATAACACATTGTTTGTTACACAACATTTGTTTGTTCATTTCATTTACACATCCACATACTTACCTGTTCCTCCACATGGCTTGGAGACAAAGGAGGGTGCGGGCTCTAGGTCAGCCATATTTAAATCCTCTGGGGGAGGTTATGGACCAGACCATGTGGAGGGGAGAGAACTGGTTTCAGTTCCTTTTTGCTTTATGGGTTTTGTGTATTTGGTTCATACATTTCCGTGTTTATAGTTTACGTTCATCGCTTTCATTTAAAAGGGGACTTCCGGTGCGCTCTGTTTGCTATTCGTAAGTCTGAAGAAATCTAGAAAAATTTAGAAAATGGCCCAATTTTCTTCATGTATATGCAATTGTAGCATTCCGTTATGTTCTGCTAATCAGCAAGTACAACCATAGCTCAGTTTTCATCATTTCTCCACTGACATACAACGCTGAGCACACTGGGTACATGCAATTAGAAGACATGAGGGTGCCAAGTTCAAGATGATTCCAAACAGCACATACTTATGCAGTCTTCATTTTACCACTGATCACATTAACTTCAATGGGTTTTATCACAGTCGGTCGGTGAGCCCACTGTCAGTAACTACACCCGAAGTTGTCATTGCATGTTTCCAAACATCGTACTGGTTTGTGACGTGAGTGTGAATAGAGCTCATTGAGGGGAGACTTCTGTGCAGTTGGGTGCATGTCAGTGTTGTGTTGTATTTAATTTAAGTTGCTCATTTTCTGTTAATTTGTGTGAACAGTTTATTTTATGTTAAAGCCGTAAGTCTATTTTTAATACATTTTTGTCTGAAATCTGTCCTCTTACGTCCATGTCGGACCAGCTTCAGCAGTCCTCAAAATGTCACATGTCAGGAAGCTGAAACCCATAGATACTGATGTGTTTCTATGACAACATGTGATGCAAAGCTTGAGGGGATACAATGGCCGATAGAGAAGTGAGAAAAATATCACTAACATCTTAAGTTAACAATAAGCCCTGCTGCCATGACAACCGCCCGTCTCTCACCTGTAGGTAATGTGCGTACGCTGCCACTTCTGTCCCGTTAGCGCATACCTCCGCCGCCGAGACCGGGACGTACCTTTGTCCGGGACTCCACACCTTGGCTTCTGCATCCAGCTTTTGGGGGGAAATAATCAGAGAGTTAATTAACATCTCCTCAAGGGAAATATGCAGCAATATTACAATACACTGTCTGCTCATGCTCAGTGCCAAAGAATACATATATCCACAAGTTTCAGAGTTAGACCATTACCATAGTGATTAACAATTAAAACACAATAACATATCCGTTCAATCGTTAAAAGTTCTCAAAATGGCACCTATAAACGGGAAGCTGAAACCCATGAACAGCAGTATGAGGGACTGTTGTGCAAACTGCTAAGTGCACTGAATATTGTCTTACAGTTATGACATAATTCTGCAGGATTTTCTTTGAAACTGTGTCTCATGATCTATTTAGGGCTATGTTATATCACTAAAACATGCAAAAAACAATGCCAGACAGAAATTATATATGTAAATACAGTATATTATATACATATATGTAAATCCTTATTCATCACTGATTGTTCTATAGTAACAAAAGTTTCAGAGGTAGTCATCTAGACAAAGTTTGAAGTTTGAAGTCGTCACTCATCCAAAAGGCTTTGGCTTTGAAGTAACACAAACTAAAATGCGGTATACTCAACACCTATGAAATCTGTGTTATATCATGAAATAAACATAACTGAATAAATAATAACTAAATTAAAGAATGCAACAAAAATATAATATAATATGTTTCTATGTTTTTGTGAATACTTACTCCTTGGTTCTGTCATCCAGGTTCCCGGTGACATTGAGGCCATATACTCGCTGCATGGATGCTATAGCAGAGTGCATGGACTGGACTGAGCGCAGCATGGACATTCCCGGCTGTGAGTGGACAAGGTACCCATACCTTTGTAGCCATTCCTGTTAAAGGGACACACACATCAGGTTAGTGGTCATAAAATATCCAAAGTAAGACTGTAACAATTTCCCGGCTAACCATGACTAGTCAAAAAAGCAAAACAAAAAAACAATAATAGTATTTTGATTTGTAATTGTTATCTGGACTCTAAAGCACATACAAAAAGACCAGTGGAATTATTAAACCATAATGTAAAAAAAATAAAAAAATAAAAGAATTAACTACTGTATTTCCAGTGTTTTTAGTATTTACAATAAAAAATATTGTTTGACTAATCGACTAATTGAAAAAGTATTCACTAAAATTGACTAAAAAGTCAGTGAAAAAAATGTATTGATGAAGTTGTTTACATCAGAAACCATATTCACGTATTTAAAGGGGCATCATGTAACCTTTGTAATGTCCAGTATGGCTTTAGTCTCATTTATTCAACTACGGGTGCTAAAGAGAAATAAAAGTGTAATGTCACAAAGCAATAACAACTCTTTAAAGATAAGTAAACAGGCATCAGAAAAATGTTATAATTAAACTTTAAGAAGTGATCAATGTTTAAAAAATGTTTGAGGAGCCCCAGCGCACTGTGAATGGTGGGTTTAAAAAGGAGTATGTTGTATTTAGCCATTTCGATTGCAATTGCCTTGAGTATTGGACTCTACCAATTTGTTAAAAAATAGGTCAGAATCATTGTCCCTTGACCCGTGGTTCTCTTGAGAGTAGTATTGACCATTATATGTGGCAAAGGTCTAAGGGTAAAAATTCAAGTCGATCCATAAATCTATAGGGCTTCGTTTTATTTGACACTCACTTAATTCCCCGAACAGTAAAGTCACAAGGGTCTGTAAAACAATCATTTAAAAGCTACAAGAATGTCACCTAACATTAAACAAGTGTTCACATTTGTCCTGGTTTTATCTTTACGCTCCGTATAGTCATGATGGACACTTGGTTTGGTCCTTTTCTAGTCCTGGTTAAGTCCTGCCTTAACCTTAGTAACATATTTGATATGATTGTGAGTTATTTACTTAAAATTAATTATAATCTGTGTGGGTTTTACACTCTTAACACTTATCTAAATATCAATAGTGTAGCAGGTTGTGAATTTTGCACAAGTATGTTTTTGTTATGCATTTTGTGCTATATTTCTATCTAAGGTAGGGCATTCTGCTCTATTGGCCCTGTGTTTGAATGTTTATATGCTTAACTCAGTGACAAACCAAGTCCCAAAGTTGCTGAGAATACGTGTAATAATAATATGATTAGGGTTTTACATTGCACAATTATTCATTCACACATTGCACATGATCGAAGAGATGAGCTTCGTCTCCACCCACTCTCCCTGGGACTGACTTATGGATATGTGGCACCAGTCTGCCACTCCTATCACCACCAGTCATCTCTCACTGACTCACCACGTTGATATGTAAAGTGGGTGAAATGTCTTGCCCAAGTACACAACGCCAATATGTGCACAGACTAGAGCTAGGATTGAACCATACATCCTTAGATTTAATAATAATATTTCATTAAAAGAAAAATGTTATATTTTGATTGATGACAAAAGCATGACACATCTGTGGTTTAATGATGCACTATCTAACGCAGCCTAGCTGATGGAGGGTCTGGCACCTGCTTGTCTCTGAGAAGATGTTACAGCTTTGCCTGAAATTTCTCACAGTATTAAACTTATTACAGTTAACTATTCATTCATTCACAGGTGTTTTTATTGTAGGGGCACAAGAAAAGTACACAGAGTACACCTTTAAATAATGATCCAGTATAGATCTGACTGTACATAGTTATATTTGCTGATCCTAGAATCAATATCAACAACTTCACCATTACAATCATATGGACCGCTCTGTATCCATCTTCTACTGTACATACATCCATCACCTCTAGCACTGTCCTTACTCACTCTCTCTCTCCTCATTGGCTCGACAAATCTGCTGCTGTGTTGTATCCAGGGGTCACTGTCACTGCCTCCCAGGGTGACGACTTACCCACAATCCCCTGCTCTCCACCTCCCAGTGCTGCCTGCTATGGCTAATCTTCCCAGTCCAGTCTCCTGCGTTGTTTATACATTTTCTTGCCTCCCGGGGCTGTATTTCCTGGTCATGTTTGTCCAATTGAGATATCTTAGCCCATTGCACCGAGGCATAAAACTGAATAATGGTGTGTTTGTGTGTGGCAGCATCAGCATTTCATTCCTCAAAGTGCAGCTCTTGGTGAAATGTTCCTGGGTTTCATCAGTAAATCAGCTATAATTATGCAACTTGTCTGTAAATGGCCATTCTTATTGTTCTAGATCTGATGCTAAATCTAGTAGCCTAATTTATATTCTTCTGTGTGAACCATCCTCCTACTGGGTACACAGACACCATAGATGTCAATAGTCTACTTGACTTTTTACATCTGATAGCATTTTACATGAGAGATGCTTATCCTCTTTGCCTCAGTTGTATCCTTTCATAGGCTATATTGCACCTTGTTTCATTGATAATAGCACCAAAATAGCAACAACGTGTGTAATCGCTGGTTATTTTTGAACAAAGATGTACAGATTGGCAAATGCCTGGACACAGATGATGACTTGTCGTTATGGCCGTATAATAACTGACACATTTGGGCACAGTCGCCACAGCATCCGTTCTGGTGTTATGGAGTGGGCTGCACACAGAATCAGATCGGCTTACGGACCGCAGTGTAATAACCTCAAATGAGCATCCTTGTTTCCGATTAGAAATGCGCGATATTTTTCATGTACGACCCCTCCTCAGTGCTGACTGTCCGTCTCCTGTATTGTCTTATGGTAATGGGATAGCGCGCTGTCAGTGTGTAGGCTGGAGCCACGTATAGCCGTGTGTTGCTGAGACAGGATGATTTGTGGAGGCAGAGAGCGCGCGGTCATTTGTGATAACCCAGGAAGGCCATTTATCTTACCTCAACGTTGAAGTGATGATGATGCTCCTCCTCGGACACGGCACACGAAACCCAAAGCAAAAGGTGCAAGCAGAGAGCTGCCGCGTAGACGCCATCCGATGGTTTCCTTTTGACGGCGGATACTAAGGTCATAATGACCTGTTTTTCCCGAGTGTTTATCAGAAGAAGCCGCCTCGTCTGCTTATGCCTCCCTTTTCGTGTGTCAAATGCGTGCCATCAGGAGCTGGCTGTCAAGCAGGCAGATTCCGATGAAAACGACAAAAGGACGATTGTACAAATAATTCCATGTAACGCATCGATGTCAAGCGCTGCATCGTACACCCGCTGGCCTCGCCATTCTTATTTACACCAGGGGGGCTACATCCATCTCGCAGCATCAATGGCCATGTACAGTACACAGTCTGCGCAAGATATTCTGCCTCCTGTCTCCACGCGTGCGCTCTGGCTCCTCACGCGGCGCAGAGCTGCACGTTAGCATCAGAAGGACTGAGTCGCACTGCAAGCTACACGAAATGTCTCCACAGCCTCCTATGCTCTCTGTTTACACTGTAGCGACGTCTCCCGGGGATTTAACAGGAACTGAGATTGGTTTGATTCAGATTTACCTTAGCAACTGGGGCAGATTAGTTCGTAGCCGATATTTCACCAAACCCAAATAGTCTACTGTCTACTTCCTAAAATAGGCACAGGGAAATGTCCACATAAGTCTGAAATGTCCATATAAGCATTTTATTATTAATTTGCACATTCCTATTATGGATTTGCTCTCAGACAGCAAAATCATATATTTTTGAATTAATTTATTCTCATGTTAACATTTTTCATAAAATAATAAGTATTCTGGCTTTGCTACAGACTATTCCATCAAGTGAACAGCAGTGTTAGTTTCAGATCTATAAAATAGATCACAATAAACAAGACAAGACGTTTTTATGAACTGCTCCATTCTAGAGACTCTTGGGTCAGAGCCTGTTTTTAGCAAGTGAACCACACGATGGCGACATTTCATTATGGACTTATACTGACAGCTATTTTCATCCATATCTCGAAGGACCAAAAACACATCAGAGCATCAGTCTATTACAAAAAATCTGAGGCAAGCATTTAACATGGACCTTAAGGGTTATACAGCGGGTAGTTAAAATGATGTACAACAGAGACAGAAATGCATGTGGGACTGGAATAACTCAGCATTTAAGTCAATTTAGATATTTCAGCTTGTCTTGCACATTACATATTTTAACTTAATTCAGAAGTGGAAAAAATGCACTCCATCTTGGGTATTGTTCACTACATTTTAGCAGTCACATTTTAATTGCTGCTCATGGGGCTGTAGAAAAATAGGTATACACATTTACTATTTTTCATGAACATCCCATTAAATTCAAACCTCAATTTTGCTCAGCCAACACCTGGACATTGAGTTAGGGCTGAAGTAGAGGGTTAGGGTTAGGGATTCCTTTTGGATTAAAACAGTTCATTCATTTACCACAAAGTGTTTTCTATGTAAGCCAATGGGCGCCATGGAAACACATGCTCAGGCAGGAGCACTGGAGCTGAGCCAGGCTCAGACAGGAAGTACCAACCCCACTGTAATATCTCAGTAGTGTTGATAAACAACAGCTAAACAATAATCAGAGAGATTTCTATGAATCAGAAGATAAATTATTTCACAGTTACTTGAAATCCAAATCAACTCAGATATGGACCCATGTAAGGGTAGTTCTAACTTCTGCAAAAATAGCATGTAGGGCAGTGCACTTAATCAAATGTAACTGAGATTAAGATTCATTTCTAACTGTCAATGGTATGCTATAGTCCTTTTAATGGAGAGGTCCACAGCAAGTCCTCTGCAAAAGCATGTGGTGTGCAGTAGAGTTCAGACTTTGGAGAAAGAAATTGAAATTTTTTGGTGATAAATGGCACTGGTTAAAAGAAAGCAAAGCAAAACAAAGAAAAACATGAAACAAAATTGTACTGATCAATATGAAGGAAAAATTGTGATAAATTCAAATTTAAAAAGATAGCCAATAATCAGTCAAAGTTAACTGCTCTATTTATTTAGTTATTTAATCCCTATAATAGACATAACAATCATTATTATTATTATTTTACATATTTTGATTTGGCTCTGTATAAAATTAATTGATCAGAGTTGCAGATGTGTCTTAAATATTTGCAGTATAGGAAAAACAAACAGCTAGCATTCCTTTAGCTTGCGTCTGAATGTGTCTTGGACAGATGGCTGCATGTGAGTTCAAAACAAAGACTTGTCTAATTAAAAGTATAATTAATTGGTGTCTGACAGGTTGCTACTGACGCCCGGGGGCACGCTGCTGGAGCTGAGAGTTGGTGCTATTATTAAAGCCATAATGAAGGCAGTTGGATCTAATGTAAGTCTAACACGTCAGACTCAAGTGCAGTATGCGTCACAGATTATGTGAAGAAGTGATTCCAGAAATAACAGTGAAAATGAGCTGCTGTTACCAGGGCCTGATGAATGAGAGTGTGCAATTGACTCTTGTTATGAATCGAGACTGTGGGTTACCTCCAAGTGCTGCATGCTGAATTGTTCTCAAATTAGTCTCTGTTAATTTTCATTGTAAATTTTTATGCCTAGATTATTATAACAATTAATAATAATAAGTGGTAATTAGTTAACATTTTATGAATTTGACTAGAAGATTTTGTCCATGCATTACACAGTTTTCTGTATAAAGTATTATAAATACAAATCATTTTTCTTTTCTTAAAACAAAAACAGCTACTAATTATTAATTACACAAACACTAAACAAACATGCTTCATTTTGGTCAGTATTGGGGATACACTGATATCAATCCTGGTATTGAATATCGTCACTAATCCTGAAAAATTACCTGGATCGAGTATCTGTTCATGATACTAGTTTAGATGATATCATGGTTGGGACTTTTTTGGATGTAATAAAACTAGTTCCTGGCTAATGTTGGCCTATGTTTCATATTGTCTGAAATTTTATTCATAGATGTTCAATAGGCACTTCTGGATAAATAACATGTTTTGAGGGGAATAAGCTACTTTTTTCAATCCCTTCAATGTTTTTGGGTAATATCAGGTATTGGCAAAAGGTAAAGGTATCAATATTATAATTGAAAAAGCTGGATCTTTAGTTGCTATATACCAAACAGTATCTAATTCTATGATTCTACCTCAAACTTTTTTTTGTAAACTAAAACCAGGCGAGGACTAAATTTGGACTTAAACTGGTATAAAATATATTTCTCTATAACAGGAATAAATCAAGTGTTTGAACCAGGTCAAATCACAACTAAAATATATCAGCAAAGTAGATTAAATGTCTAAATAAATAAAATTCATACAGATGCCCCTAAGTATCACCTATTGTTCATGTACCACAGTTTGAGAAGCCCTGATCTAATCTATTAAGTGTGGTTTTCCTGCAGGCCCGGGCCCCTCTCCAACCTTCACACGGGGGCTGTTGTAGTTAAGTGTATGTGGCGGTGTGACGACTGTGTGGACTCAGGCGTACGGAGATGAGACGTCTCTGGTCCATCTGTGTTCAGTCATGCACATCTGAGTCCAGCACTCATGATAACTGCCTCACAATATGTCACATAACCTCTCTGCCTGGCTGCACTGCTTAATAAGAAGCTCTGTGTAAACCTCCGTAAGAACAGCCCTGTTTTTCCACCGTGGACCCTGGGAGAGAGAAGGATACATACATCTGTAACAACATGGACTGGGAAAATGAAAATGTGGTCATGTTAAAGGTCTGTGGTTCTGCTGATAACTCAAGTTGATGTAAACATACAAAATAACACTGATAACATGAGTAAAAATAATATTGACTGGAATACTAAGACTGGAGAATTATATTGCTGTTGGAATCAGGTTATTGAATGATTTGAATTTAGAATATTGTATTATTATTTTTTTTTGTAACTTACTTTTGTATCTCTTTTGTATTTACATAGTTGTGCTATGTCATGTTTAGATTATATGTCATATATTTTTTATTTAGTGTAGTATTACTTCCCCAATTACTACCACTATAATTTACTACATTAACACTAGAATTACTTCTCCATACTATATTTTTTTTTTGCCAAAATGTTAATGTCAGTGCCTTTTTTTAGGTTCAAATACCACACAAGTGTAAATGTTAAGGATTAAATAATTTTTTTTTAGACCATGGTTGAATTGAAACTAGTTCTCTTTTAAATCTGACAACCTTTTGGCTGGCCATGGATCTTTAAAGAATCAGTTCTTTCTCAGCAGAATGTAACCGTTACTTAATAAAGTTAAAATGGACAGGGTACAAACCTGAGGCACACAAATTATGAATGATTATATTAAAAGTCCTTTATTACATGAGAAGGGACACCAGTGCTGGCTGGTCTTCGTCAGGGCATGAGCGTGCTCATGGTTGGTTGATAGTTCATTCCCTCTTTGTAGAATGCCAGAGAATGTACAGCGCAGAGCAAGGTTGGACATGCACTCACAGTCTAAAGCCAGTTGTCTGTCCACACTTCATTGAAACACCTTCTCCTCTGGTGCAGATGTTATTTCTGCTTGTTTAGTGTTTCTGCTCCACTGGCAGAAGGTTGAGAAAGGATCTGTACAGAATAAACATGGGCTCATAGGCGAAAAGTACAAAAGACCATTGTATGTGGAATCTTTTATTTTAAACAAACTTAGGCTTTGATGAGGTAAACTTACTTAATCTAGCAAAGGATACATTCAGTTGTTAAAGGAAGTACCAGAAAAGTAACATAGCATACTGGACTGGGACATATGATAAAAATGTGTTCCCTGATATTGATAAATCTGGATTTTTGGTTTCACTGTATTAGTTCTTTAAAAAGTAGAGCTAAATAGCCAAATATATTCCTCCAAAGTCCAAACTCTGCCCCAAACCTCTTGATTCAAAAGCTTTAACATTGATAATTAGACATACTTAATCTCAGTTAATATTTGATTAAGCGCTCTTTACAGCAAGTATACAAGTTATCTTGCACAAGAACATAGTGCAGGATGATATATAACAGACACTGCCTCTGAGACTGGCTGCAACTGAGAACCCAGACAGTTTGTTTTTTGCTATGCTTCACTCTAGTATTAAACAAGGTTAACCATGAGTTAGTTTGTTAAGTCATGCACCTCACTATTTTATGCAAATCACTCCTTATTACTATTGGCCTGTGTCAGCTTTTGATAAGGACTGGCAAATTCTCTATTTATTTACTATTACGTTTTGTATCATTGGCGGTAAGGGCTAAAGAGTATACCGCATGCTTTGGACATAAATTCGTACCATTGTTCCATTGAGAGGCGAGGGTCTGAGCAGTACGGGGGTGATAAAATCAGAGCTTCCAGGAAGAAGGAAGCAGCAGATTTATGGATAAAGTCAAAGAGAACTCGGAGTTAATTGATGCTACAAGGTTAGATTTTTTTGAGTTGGAGGGAAGTGTATGGAGCAACATAAAATAAAGGAAGACACCCTACGGTAAATTTGTGTTTTATCTAATCTTCCTGATGAGTAAAAAATGAAACACAGATGAGACCACCATAAAACAGGTCTATAAGTCACAGAGGGGAGTGGGAGCAGTGCAGGCCCCTTCATCTTGGGTGGTATCTGTCTGTATGTTGTTCCTATAGTGTAACCTGAGTAATAGTAAAACCAGACAGGACTTTAAGGACACGAGGAGAGTCATAGTGAAAGTGGATGTGAAGGTGGTGTCAGAACAGTTATAGAGAAGATGAAGAGTAGTCCAAATATATATATATATATTTGATAATCTGTGCTTTAGCATTACATCCTTGATTATGTATGTAGTAAATTACAAGTCATTCAGATGGAAAAACTTATTTTGAGTGACACAGATGCACGAGGTAAAGGTGTACAATGTAACTTTTCTGGTGGAGGGTCCTGTCTCCCACCTGCTTTCTCCATGACGAAGCTATTACTGGTTTGCCTAAAAGGTTCCAGTTTTTTATGTATACATGTGGATATGTTTTAATATATACATACTTATTTGTATGTTGTAGGGCGGCACAATATATTGAATAGGTATCACAATTTTGGTGGATCCACAGACAGAAAAAAAAAGGTTCCAGTGGGATATTTATTTATATCAGTGTAAACAAGCTTGCGGCACCACCAGGCCAAGTTAGAGATCAGATTTGCGCATTTTCATAGTGACAAACATTAGAAAAAATATTGACTTAAAGGTGCATTGTGTAATTTTTCTGGTGGCGGGTCTGTCAAATCCTTTTCTCCGTGGAAATGTTAATGCTTTGTCTGGAATATTTCACAGTTTGAAGACCAAACCAGACCAATTTACAGGTCAAATCTGTGGAGAGGCAACCCTGCTCACAGCCAGAATGTCTGTTTTTCTCTGTATTTTTGATGCTGTAAAACCACCTGTAATTTAATAAATGTAAGATAAAGCTGTTTAATGTCATACTGTGGAACATTCCAGGCAGAGGAATGACATATCCATAGAAACAAGCAGGTGACGGACCTTCAACCAAAAACTTACTTGGTGTGCCTATAAAGTAATTAATTAGTGTCTAACAAAGCAAACGAAACTGTTATAAATTCTTGAGACAAACTTTTGATTAAAGAAAATAATAATTACATAAACACCCTTTACTATTGCTTTTTTCCAATTTCCCAACAGCTAACTGTCCTAACCATCAGTTTCACCACATCCACAGAGAAAAGCTTTAAAAAGCCTTGTTGTGTGTTTGTCTGCTGTGAAACATTAGCTGCACATTATGTAATTTCTCCTTTGACAAATACAATAACCTCTTCCTCTAACCGTATGACCAAAGACAATTTACTAAACCATTACACTGGAGTAATGAAATAAGCAGCAGTGTGAGAAATGGGCTCTATCAGTGCCACTCGGATCTGGGGACATCAACAAACACATTTAGGAACGCACTACACAGTTAGGCTCTGCTCCCATTAGAGACACAGTCAGTCTTGGGTCTAGACATACGGCCCATCCAGTAAACAGGCTGTAAATGACACTTAGAGCACCACTTTCACAAAGACATAACAAGATGGCTACAGATTTGGACAAAGCCTTTCACCCCGGGCTACTATAAAGAAGATGTTACTTTAATATTGGCTTAGTTTATTTTATTACACTTATAAATCAAGGGGTGGAAATATTGAAGATCCAATAGGATATTTTAGTTCTATTTTATTATTGTTTCCGATTTTTGACACCATGACCAAACTGTGAAATCCTACAGTCTTTTAATACATTGTCATTGCTTTTAAATGTGGCCAGCTTTATTAACTCAAACTTTATGAATGATGATGTGATGTTATTGTGGCATAAGGAGCAAGTTGCTTCAGAAATATATTTTTTTTTTCGTTCTCACAATTTTAATTTTAATCTGGACATTCCCAGTCACAAACCAGGTCACCTTTTGTGCCATAGTCATGTAGACTGGTCAAAAAGGGCATGAAGGGTAAAACATGAGAAATAAAATATATGAATAATGAATTATTTACTCACAATGGCTAGTGTTCAAACGAGATATAGGAGTACAGCAGGACTTCATTTGGACTTAGATCTGATTTATAGCCTATATAAACCAAAACTGAACTATACCAGGTGTAAATATAGAAGTGGTCTAAAACTCAAGGGTCAGTATAGGGTCAGTAAACCTCTATAATGCTGTTTCCCAAAAATAATTTACTGCATATACAGTAAAAAACCAATTCAGCTATAATACCTCTGAGCCAGATGTATGAAATTGCATTCGCCTTTAGTTACAGCAGTGTGCCTACCACATATTTACATAGTTTATGCTAATGCAGGACACAGCTTCCGGTTCAATGCAGAGTAAATCATTTTCTGAATATGTTCAGGGCCAACAGGAAACTCATACACGTATAACAGTGTTAATATCAAACCAATTGGATTTCTTTGTCATTTCCTGGTATCGCAAACGACTCACTTATCTTAACAGCTACAACATAATGATACTGCTGCACACTGTACTTTAACTTTTGCCAGTTAAGAAACGAAAATGTGGAAAAAGTGAATCAAGGTAACCTGACCATAATGACAATGTAACTGAAATTATTGTCATTTTGAGACTGCAGGGTGCTTCTTAATACTCCTCAAATGGGAAAAAATGACAGTCATGTTATATTTTGTTGTTTCATGTGAGATTAAAACCCAAGCTACATCCTTTTAATAAAATGCATGCATAGAACTATTCAACACTCAAAACATTAAACGCCATTTCCATTTAATTACGTTTTTCACAAATGTTTAAGATTTTACATATTGAAACATACAAAAAAATATATATATAATAAAACATTTATAAATAGATAAATAAATAAAAGAAAAGGGGGAAAATCATACACAAAAAACATACATTCACTCTTCCATTTAATTACTTGATGTTGATCCAAATGACATAATTTACGAAGGGTCAACATTTCAATACATCATATTTCTACATTCAGATTATTCTATTAATTGTATTTTAATACATTTGTTAAAAAGCCATCTTATCATCTCGTAACAGCCATACCCTCAGGTACAAGTGCCCATAACCGTGCTGCACAGGCCCTGCCCACCGCGTGTACCTGAGAGAGTCGCGTCCCTCCCCCGGTGACGTCGCTCCAGCGGTTTGTGCTCGCTTCTCAACACCGAGACTTGACTTGAGTTCTGCACCGATCTGCGCAGAGGAGGAGCTGTCAAAAGTTTTACCAGAGCGGAGAAAACCTCACACTTTTGCTACAAGTCTTCTACAACTTTTGGACGTTTGGTTAAAAAGCGGAATATCGCCTTTTGTTGGAATGGAATGACACCTTTATACCGGGAGCACGTCTAAGTAAACTTCACGATGGCGACCCGTTTTCTTCAGTGGTTCACTCTCACCTCCTTAGTCTTCTTTGGTCACTGCGTGCTTGCTGAAAAGAAAGGTACGTTTATGGAACTACTACTTAGGGGCAGGGACGTAACTTTTAGAGCGACTCTTCTCAGTGCTTCCCGGACGTTTCCATAAATCACAGCGAGGCAACTCCTCTGGTCGCGCAGAGTGGAAAGTTGCAACAGCGTGAGAAAAAGTTGTGAAAGCGCCCGTGTTTTCATTGTACGACCTTAAACTCAACACAAAGGCTAAAAATGGCATGTTTCTCTACGTAAGACATACAAATAATGGTTAGCAAGTTAGTTTATTGTGTTGCGTAAAGGTGGAATGATCTTACGCACATCTCCGTGAAATGACAAGGTGCCAAAACTTGCAGCAGTCCCACAATGATGCTGCAGGGAGGGTGTTGGTATGGCACGCGGATTGTGCAATAATCTGACTTTTATTGTTGTTATCTTCTAAACATGAGATTGCAACTTTCTGTTTTGTACTATGAAATGTTTTATGATCAGTTTGTCAACCTTATTTCAGCTGATCTGTGTATGCATTACGTATTTGTGTGTAAAGTTAGTTGGGTCAAGGAAATGATCAAATTAAAACTTTTATTGAATTATTGATTGTTATAGTAATATATTGGTTGCTTTTGACTTTCAAACATACTAGTGTTGGATAGGAATAATATAATTCCTATCCAATTTTATGCTATATTCCCTAGACTGCGTTGTTTAGACATTTGTGGTAATGTTGCCTATAAATGAATGCTAAACTACGAGTTTAGGAACACATTATTCCACGTTTATTCGTTCCACATGCAGTTAGAGTGATTCATGCTCCCATAAATACCTCACATGGGGGAGAGAAAGTGACCAGAAGTCTCATTTTACTTACCATAATCATTTCCTATCATTATACATCATCATTGTACTACTCATCAGATGTGCTACATGTGTGTTCTGCGTCCGTGGTGTCTCCTGCATCCAAACTGACTTTTTCTTTCTTCCTTTTTGTAAACCATAACAAATCAAAAATGTTTGCAGGACAACAAGACAAGATTCCCTAAATATTTCTGAGCGTCTAAACAAATTGGACAGCACACTTGTCACGCTATGCCCGCTGCAAATAAGGATTTTTGTGGATTTTATTAAGAAAAGACTTGGGTTGTGGTGCTGAGTGGTGAGGATAGGGGCTGCAGTGGTAAAGTTTTTTATAAGTTGTTGCTTTTAAATTGTTTGTCTTTTGTATTCTTTGTGTGAAGTTATTTCAATTTGATAAAAACAAGAATCAAATATTAATGTGCATGGGTAAACATAGGTATAGTGTTCACGATTAATTGTGGCAGCACATGGAGGTAATCGGAGCAGTTGTTGTTGTTGGGACAGACAGATGGTGTAGGTGGTCCGGAGTGTTTTTCAAGCACAATTTGTCTATTTGGCACCTGGGTTGTTGTTCCTACTGAGGACGAAGTGAACCTGTGATGCTATTGTCAGGCTTCAAAATAATTGATTGTTTGATGGTTGTAGAAGATAAACTCAAAATAACCTTAACCAAAGTTGTATTTTTTCTAATTGTAAATACTGCAAAATATCTGGTCACATTTTAATCTTATTCTACAATTCTACAATAACATTTTAATAAAGCCTGTATATACATCATTATTGCTTTCTAACTGACTGGGACTCAAGGCACACTTGGCATGTTTTAAATAATGAATAAGTTGAGTAGGCAAACTAAGTTTTTTCTCTCTCTTTATAGTGTTGAACTAATATTATATCAAACAGGAATATGGGTTTTATTGTACTCTGCAATTACACAATTAAAAATGTATATTTTATTCTTACATTTATTTGCAATACCTTTGTCATGCCAACTCAACCAGCTTTCTACAAAACATTTAGGCATATGAAACATTAAAGTTTTTGCTATTTGCTTGCTCTGACTTATATTAAATCTTTGATGGAACAGAAAAAGTGTTTTGGTTGCTAGGATGTTGGTCAGTGAGAACATCTGGCCAGCTGTTTACATATAAGTGTAAATCAATGAGCTCATGGACAGAAAATAGACCCTTTTATCTCCGTTAAAAGCACTGAGGGGTCTTTAACACTCAATATGTTTAACACTACAGGGAGCAAAGAGAAGAGCTTTTCCCCGTAAAATCAAAACCTAACAGGCCAATTTCCTGTCATTAAATCTAAGTCCCCTTTATCAGTGGGACTACAGTTAGGATGTTTACACAAGGCCACCTCTGCAGTGGCTTATAGGATGTTAACTGTTGAAGCACGACACAGTGCACCTGACACTAGCTGGCCCATAAGTGCACCTGCCTGGCTCACATGGACAATCTGACTTCACTGTTCTGGTGAGAATTCAGACTCATATTTGTGGTCCACGACAATCTCCTGTCAAGTCCCCTTATAATAATAAATATAATAATACGGGTGCTTGTCATTAGTCTTCATCATTAAGCATTATTGCTGTGTGTGTTAGGATAATTATTAGAGTTCGATTTTGTTTTATACAATGTCTTAATGCAACCAGATATGCATTTTCATGTTTCCCAAAGCTTGATTGAAAATGCATATACACAGTTTCGTGTGCTACAAATCAACCCAAATACAAGTGAATAGATTTAAAGCCTAAACATATCCCCAAAAAGGGATTGCTAATTAATTTTCATGAAAACATTGTCAAATAAAGCATACTTTTTACAACCATACCCTACTGAATAACCAGTCTTTCATGATAGATTGCAGACACGACAGAAACACAACTCAGAGCCATCAAATTCAACATGCTGATTAAAAAAAAACTGCATTCAGTTTTCTTTTCACCTTAATTAACAGTCTCCATCAGTCAAGAAAAATTGCCACTTCACACAGCCTTAGAGCACATGCAATAACTGGACTGGATAAAGCTCTTAATACTCTGACTGATCTAAATTCCAGCTGTGAAGATTAAATGTTATTATTTTTATTATTAATCAAGTCCTTTTACAAAGTTCCTGGCAGGTGCCTAAGCTGTGAGAAAGATCAAACTAATCATAGAACCATGTCAGAATTTAAATCTTTAATCCTGTGGTGTGCGTGGTTGGCACCAGATAACCAGCTTAAATAAATATGCTTTCACACAACTTATGTTATTTGAATTCTGCAGTTGAGTAGGAGATTGAGAGATAAGGTTGTGCCTGGGCAGTGTTGACAATAGACAATAGTGGACCACCAGACAGGAAGCCAGAGTGGCTCCGAGATGCCAAAACCATTCAGAAATTAGACAATACCTGGTGCTGTCGACCTTAAAGACATAAAATGAGAATCATTTGAGGTTGTTTTAACATTCCTCAACAATGATGCACTTCCAGGTTGTACTATAAAGTATTGAGGTAGTAGGATTTGAATTAGATCTTTGGTGAATAATGCTTTTAGGGCATTAATAATGAATTATATTGGAACTACTAGTATCCATTTAACCAACTGTGCTCTTCTTTCTCTGTGAACTATACACATTTTATGCTATTTAATCAACTATTACAAAACAATGTTCATTTGAGAAAGTTAAAGGGACTATATTCCTCTATTTTCTGATCAGTTTAATGTTGTTTTTCTCATCAAAAACATACCTGGACTTGTGTTTTGTTTCATTCACACATTTTTACACAAACCCTGCAAATCTAAGATGAATTCTTCTCTCAAACAGAAAACACTCTGTTCCACTTTGTGATGTCATGTTTAATAGAAATGGTCCACTGTCTTTTAAACTCCATACACCTTCACTTGAATCATTTGTACAATTTCAGCACTGGAATTTATTGACTGATCTTTATTTCAATTGTATTTACAGTAGTTTCATATACACTGGACAATATTTACACAGCCAATCTTTAGTGAATAAAAATAAAAGTAAAAGTACTGTTTTTGAGCTTTGGAAATGGACAGATTAATAATAAAGGTTTACTCAATCATGTGTGAATGAAACAAAACACAACTCCCGGTATGTTTTTGATGAGGTAACAGTATTATAACATGGCCAAAAGCTCACAAGACATGAGTAAATTTTGCGTAATAGGAAGCATTATAATCTGTATCCTGACAACCAAGACCACCGTGTTGTCTATTTTTGCATCCAAACATTTTCAAACACCTGCAAAACTACTGAATCATGAAAGCATCTGTAGTGCAGCTCTGTATCCCTGAGTGTCCTGACTAAGTGCTTTCCCAGTGTGTTTTCTCCTCCTCAGACTGCTGGTTTCACCATCACTTGTGCAGAATCGTGCTGTTTCTTTTCATTAGGGCCCACGCTCTCTCTTAGATGGATGTCTGTAGTGAAACTTGCATTATGATCCCATGTAATCCTAGAGCCCCTCGTCTGCCTTTCAGCTCCACAGTGGCCCTGCGTGGTGCTACGGCTGCGTGCCTCTTTTTGACGATTTTAGCAGACTTTAAGCTAGTGCAGATACTGTTTAAAATATGGACTTTTCTTCACCAAGCTAGAGAAGTAGTTATCGTCCAAAACATGTGACTGATATCATTTGATAGTGTTTCAATGTGAATAGCACTGTAATAAAGAGTACACTGACTAAGGGACTGTTAAAATAATTTATATTCATCTAACTGATAATAGAAGTAGATAATAGATGTCCGTATGACCATGCATGAGTATTTTTCATATTTTTCAGACTACAAAGTAAATTACAACAAACAATCACATTTATATGGTTAAGCATGTAAACACAAAAGTATTTGGAGTAATTGGTTTTGTTCAGTATTTTATTTTACTTTTTTTGGGCTCATTGTTTTCATGCACTTCTGCTCTATATTTTGGTATAAACTATTATGATATTTTTTATGATTTTAACTCTCATAAAAGGATCACATTTTGTGTTGGCAAAAACTAAAATGTTATTATTATTTTTTATTTTTTTGCAATATAATAAATCTTCGTAAAGTTCAGTAATTGGCACTAAAAGCAGTTTTTGTGCATTGGTAGATTCTGTGTAGTGTGAAACACTTACGTTTGTTTTGTTAAGCACATAAAATGTAGCATTCAAACTCATTCTGT